CATGCCCAGGTAGAAGGACTCCCAGTAGGGATGGACACAAAGATGAACATGTGGAGGTATTGCACTCCAGCAAGATGTGAAAAAATTCATCCAAAGTACAAATCCTGGTATGTATCCATACATATGGAAGGTGAATGTTTATGTTTTTTAGTGTAAGTCAAAAATTGCTGGACAGTCTGTTTTCCTTTGGAAGAAAATTATAAAATTAAATTTTATGAAACAACCAGTGTTTTAAACCTGTGGACAAGGTGAAATGGCAAATGCCATGTGCATGAGAGTGGTTCTCATCAGTGCAGTTCTTTGCTGTCTCTAAAGCCGTGCAAGCTGGGGCTGTGGGTGCAACTGGAGACATGCAGCCCACCTGTGCTATAGGAAGGTTATTTTGGTCTCACTATCAGGTGAATCTGTATGTTGTACAATATTGTATATATTCTGCCAAGCTTTATGCAAATAAAGAATGCAACAGTCATTTATTTGACAACAGCGATCATAGGTGATTCTATGAAGAAATTTAGGGAAAATCTACAGAGCGTGTTGTTTTGACTACAACCAAGTTGTAGTTCTGACTTGTCTCAGTCGCTTTGATAAGTAGTCTCTCATTAATTTAAAAATAACCAGTCCAGTTAAACAGCATGGGTGTTGGTCAGAAATTCCTGATTTCTCATGTGTACATACACCATGTCAGACTCACTGATGCAAATACCTGGATGAATCAGTAAAACAAGGCTGGACTAGCCAGGGTTGATACAGGCAGTGTGTCCAACATTTAGTTGTTTAGGCAGTAGCTCTAATTCAGAATTATGATTTAGGTGCTGAATGTGCTTGGTTTTGAAAGCACACAGTCTTTGTTAACTTCAACAGAAACTGCAGGATTCTGCTATACAAAGCAATGAAACTGCGAGATATAATCCACTGTTCAGAAAAGTCAGAATATATTTTTAAGGAAATCTCTTTTGGTAAATAAAGGCACTGCTGAAGCAATAGGAGTGATGGAGCATGTGTAAAACAGCCTAGGGAGACCTGCACCCTTCTGAAGCCAGGCAAAATATTTATGTTCGGGTAACACCGTCCATGTTTACCCCCAGCACTGCTGTGCAGTATCACACCTCGTCTGAAACCAGCATGCAGTGAAATAGGAAAGTGCTTCTCCCTTCCCAGCCCTGAGGAGGAATGCGGCCTCTATAAATGCTGAGGGACTTGTTATTTTACACAATAAGATTTGCTCATGTATTTTGCTAGAAATACCAGGGCTAGAAAAACATGACAAGCAATCGTTCTACACTCAAGACACCCATCTTTATAAATTATAAATATAAGCACTTTTCAGCTGCAACAGTGAGACTCCTGGAATAAAGACATTTTGAACACTGGCTGTTTCCCTTCAAGTAATGGAAATTAAATGTCAGAATTACCTGCTCCTTTGCTGTCAGAAAAATGACATGTGAAGTGAGTTGAGAGGAGGTATGGAGGTGCATAAAAACCTAGATGAATGGAAGATGATCAAATGTCAAGTTTAAAATTTGTATTATCATCTGTGTTCACAAGAGTTTGAAAGCCAAAGCCTATGTGCCATCTCCTCATGGATATGCCTCGCAGTCAGAGGACCCTTAACCTGAGTGAGGTGGCTGTCATTTGTCTGTGAATCTGTGGCCAAGGGTCAGGAGGAAGAGCAGAGTCTGCGTAGTTTGCCATCACTTTTGGGCAAAGAGCCCTTTTCTCATGTCAGAAGCAGACGGTCCCTATGTGAGGCCCCATGACACCAGCCCCCCAGTTCCCACAGGAGTTACCCCCCTGAATGCAAAGTGCCAGGGCTGGGGAGGCTGGGCTGTGGCTCAGGCTGGGTTTGTGCGGGAAGATCAGTCCATTAGTGACATCTCCCTTTCCCTCACCTTCCCAGCCCGGCCTGAAATGGGTTTTGCTCATCTGTTGCGCATTGTAAAAGCCCCTCGGTGCTCAGGGAGTAAGGAAGCAATGGCAGCCACTCTTGTTTAACCCAGCACTCTTGTTCTGTCATCCCAGGAAACGCCATGTTATGTCAGAGTCATTTCCAGACTGTAAGCAGTAATTGAAATACCTACAGAGAAGGAAAAAGAAAACCGGGGTGTAACTCTTCTCAATAGCATCTGATAGCAGTTGTGCTCTGTTTGTCATGTGCCATTTGTTCCATGCCAGTATTGCATTTATATAATCACTTTTCTTAGTGATTATTATTTTTTTTTCTACAAGAGGAGCTCACTTTTACAGTATCCATATCCCGATGTCTGAAAGCAAAATCCACTGTTTTCCAGCAACATTAGCAAGTCTTCTGTTCAGGCATCTGTTGCCGGGGCCCCGCTGGAGGCGATTCAGCCTGGTCCACCAGAACCACCTGCTGAAGCTGCAGCTAGTGAAACCAGGCTCTCCCTGGTTCCTGCTCCCCAGCCAGGCAAGGGAGCTGCAGACCTTCTATTGGGCTGCACGGGTGCTGTCTTCTGTAATCCTGTCCCAGTAGAGCGAGGCCCAAAGATCCATCTCCTGTCTAAGAAGAGATTCAGTCTTTCCTCACCAGTCCTTGGCCTCATTTGTCTCGATCTGGGAGACTGTGGTGGGGATCACTCCTTCTCGTTAGAGGTGTTTGATATTCGGTATAGGGCAACTTTCCTGGGCAATGGCCTCATTTTCTGCCTCCAATAGCATTTGTGGGTGTGTGGGGAAAACGTGCCATGCAGACACCCTTTCCCTGCTTTCCTCTTCCCTCCATTTCGCACATGCGTCAGGGTTTGATTTGCAAGTTGCAAATAGTTTTGTGTTTCAGGTTACAGAAGGTGTTTCAGGTTGACTTTCTTTTGGTTAGAGCATGTCATTTCATTGCCCAGCCCTCCCTGTGTGCTGCGTAATCTCATTAGAGAGGCTGGAGAGAGACGGGATTCATTACAGCTCCAATTTAAAGCTTGGGTAAGTTTGAATTCTACTGAAAACAGAGTTATCCCTTGTCCTCAACCTCTGGGATCACTTTGCACACCAAAGAAAAGCAAAAAGCAAAAAGCAAGAGAGAGGGTTTAGAGCTATAATCCAAACTGCCAGGAGACAAGACATTTCAGCTAATGACCATATAAATTGCGCTGTTCCATTTTGGGTATGAGGCAGGTGGGAAACCTTTCTATGTGCCACTACTGCGGTGTTAAGCTCACTGGTTCAGGCTCACTTTCTTTCTTTCTGGAAGGAGCAGAGAGCTTGAAAGGGACACAGAGTCCCTCATAGTGCTCCAGAAAACATCAGGATCAGAACAGGACCCCAGTGGTGATACCTGTCTGGACATACTGAGCAGGTCTGGGTATTGTTGTCCAGTAAGTGTGTGGAAGCAGAGCTCTAAACAGGGTGAAAAATAGCTATGTGGGGAAGGGGATGGCTAGCTTGGGTGCACAAACTACCTCGCACGGATGCACCTAACATGAGCTGTGGTCACAGCCGTAGGTAACTTTGACAAATTGTTGCTATCCTGAAAAAAATGAGCACAATCTACCATGATACCATAGTAGAAAGAGGCAGGAAAACATGGGGTTTTTCGCCACAGACATTGAGCAAATATAAGATGGCAGTCATAAGCTAAATATGTTTTTGAAACATTCAGAAGTTGTCTACCCAGGGAGACAGGTGCTTCCAGTTCACTGATTTACAACGCCGAACAGGTCTGTGCATGGCATGTGCATTTTGAATGGCAAAGGAAGGATGAGTGGCTAATACAGATGGTATATGCAAAAGGTGATCATTTTTCTAAACGAGCTGTGGGTCTTAATCAGAAAGAAGGTCTAGCAGTGCCATTAAAAACATATCTATTCTTCTCTAGTGTTGTTCTGAATGTTATGGTCATGATGATTTTAATCACTTCTTACCTGTTAGATCTTTGCAAGTGAGCAAACTTGTTCTCTAAATGTAATCTGGCTGACCTTGTCCAGCTCCCATCAGGTCTTCAATAGCTGGATTGATTGCAACCGTTCTTTAGCAAAGCAAAAGGCTGAGGACACAGTGTTTGTGACACTTCTGTCCTGGGACCCAGGGAACAGTACAGGTGAGGAACCAAATGGGGAAATAGACTGAATATCCTTGACTTGATGGAACTGTTGGAGTTGCTCCTCCTGAAACTAGTTGTAGACATGGTTGTGAATTCAGAGACATGGTCTCTGGGTTAGTTCACGAGAGCCAAAATTTCACATTTTCTGATTGCCTTCAGTACCAGCCTTTCATTTGTGCTCTCTGATTCTATGAAGCACACAAGATAGTGATTTGAATATAAAAATATTTTAAGCAAGTGTGCATTAATGGTTTCAAGAGGTCCTCGATGGAGCTGGTGTGAAAGACAGGTTTATGGGGTGAGCAGCTTCTAACAGTTGGAAAATGGCACTCCTTCTCTTGCTCAAGTGGTCAATCACACCCCCTGCATAACGTTCACAGGATGTGTCTCGAGAGCCCAACCATCTTCTGCCTTCTGGCACATCACTGGAAGTGGGGACTTAGCCAAGACTGTGGCTTGAGAGAAGGAGATAAGGAAAATCTTGTATCCCAGCTGGAAGGCTTTCTGTCAAGTGATTGTTGCACATGCTGTTTCTTATATCCAAGGCAAAGTAAAAGCTCCAAAGTCTCAATTTGTGGATCCAAGACTGGGCTGGCCAGGAGGGGACATCCAGTCACCCTGCAGATCCATGGAGTTCCCTGCTTTTTGTTATTATTATTATTGTTATTATACTTCATCAGATCCCCATTTTGCATGAGCTTTTGCATACTCTGCCAGTACATTTAAACAAATGCGTGTGTGTATGTGTGTGTGAGAGAGCGGGACAGAGAGAGAAGTGACAGCGAGAGCTTGTTGATGGCTGGGATTCATGGGAGCCCCAGAGTCAGCGAGAACCACTGTGCTCAGTGCTGTACAAACAGATCCGATGCCACTGTGTGCTCCCGAGGAGTTCAGAGCCTGACTGTACGGTCTTGTCTCCACAGCCCTCAACACAGCGAGATGGAAGAAACTACAGAGTGAGAAGGAGGAGCTGGAGAGGCGCTTTGAGGAGGAGGTGAAGCAGCTTCGTAGGCAGCAGCAGGAGGAGCTGCAGGCGCTGGAGCAGCGGCTGCAGGAGGAGTACAACACCAAGAGGGAGAGCCTGCAGGAGCAGCACAGGCTGCAGCTGGAGCAAGTCAAATTGCAGCATCAGGATCAGGTCAGTCTCCGCCTGTTCCCTTTGAAGAGTAGACCGTGCCAGTACTGAGTGGGTTCACGTAATGAAATGTATTGAACACTCCAACATGAAGACACTAGTAGCGAACTGACGACTGGAAAAATATATTCCTGACTATCTTTACTGCTTTTCCTCCCTATTATTGCTATTGGTATTTCTATATAGTAGTACATTACATTGCCATGTCTTGTCTTCGCATGCTTCCAGATATTTTACAACACAAATATTAAGACTAGCTCTGCTCCCCACGCATACTTGCTCCCCAACTCACCTATTGTAGTCAATTTACATGAAACCAAGGGTTGAACAAGAATCTGCTCAACACAGGTAAGGCCAGCAGAGCCCTGCCCATCGTTATTTGCAATGCTAGTTAAAGGGCAGTACAGTGAAACGATAGGGCCCATGCAACACGTAGCCTAAACATCAAGCAGGTAATACACTCTGGGTTCCCCGATTTCTGCTCCACCGTTCAGTCTGATCTCTTAGATTGTATGTACCAAGTCTCCTTGCTTTGCTTTCTGTATGTAGGTAGGAATAGAATCATAGAATCATAAAGGTTGGAAAAGACCTCTAAGATCATCAAGTCCAACATACAGCTACTTTGGTCTTATTTTTAACAGCTGGAGTGAACAAACACTGTAATTCACCTATGGGCACCTCTCACATGGTGGCAGAACATCCTGCTCTGGATTATGGCAATAATGCCTTTACCTGGCCTTTTCTCATTTTGCATTCAGTGAGCAGTGGATACAGTTCTGATTTTTCCAGCTGTAACTCTTACCCATTGCCCAGCACCACAGTTTGTGAGGGCTTTTCTCACATGAGTATCTGCCGCACTCAGGTGCGCTCTGCAATCTGTGCATCAGGCTTTGCCACGCCGCAGGCCCCGCTGCCGTGGGTATGTATGCCACCCAGGCACCTGATGCAGCACAAGGGCCATTTGTCTGCGAAACGTGAGCCCAGCCAACAGAGCCCCTGTTTGCCAGCATCCTTCTCTCCGTCCTGGGGATTTTGCCAATGCCCAGGGCTGCTGGAGGTGGTGGAGGGTGAATTTTTCACTCTCTGAGGCAATGTAAATTGGCAGCAACAGTACAGTGCAGAGGTGGTCTGTGAGGCGGATGGATGTGACTGAAGGTCGAGGAGAAGGTTTTATGTCTGCGTGCTCTGTATCTCAGGGTATCTCCAGTGTGCATTCTGGGGCTGCTGCCTGAAGCAGGAGCCTGTGGCCAAGGCTCCAGAGCTGCTCCCCACTGCTTGTGGCTGGGGAGCGGGCTGACAGCAGGCGCTGCAGTGGGCTGCAGAGCGCAGACATGCCCCATGCGGTTCCCAAGGATGATGACAGCACTAGCTGTGGGCTCAGAAGCAAACCAGCCCCATCAGAAGAGCCTGTGCCTGAGCTAATTTAGACCTTTTAAGAGGTAAAGGCTGGTGCAGCACTGTGCGGCCATAGCTGAAGCACCTCCAGGAGCCAGGGAAAAGGGCTAGCCTGCACTGAGCTCAGGGGAGAGGAGCACCACCACAGCACAGCAGAGACAGCAGCCCCCTGTCTTTAAGGTCAGCTATTTGTAAAAAGGGAAATGACACCATTTACTGTCTGTACTTGAGATACTGTAAAACGCTCCTGGGATGGGAGTGCAAACACAAACCGAGATGACAGTTTTATGTCACTCATGTCACAGCTGCCCGGTGACGCTGGGTGCAGCGTGGTCCTCACTGGCACGTAGCTCAGACAGCCGTGTCGGACAGACAGACGGGTCCCAGCCTGTGCCCCAGAGTGCCTGCTGACCTGGGTACTGCCGTGCAATTTGGTTTGATTCTTCAGTAGGGGGGGGCTGAAGGGGGTTTCTTGGCCTAGGAAAAGGAGAACTTTGTTAGTCTAGGAACCAAGGTCCATAAGGAATAAGGATCTCTAACAGCTGCTGACCCAAAGGGTTTGTAATCCTCTGGTTCTTCCTTCCCCTGCTCAGAGAAGTGCCCAGCTCAGAGCATGCCAAAACGAGCAAGCCTGCTCGAAGGACCGCAGTCATTCAGCTTTGACACTGCTGAGCTGGTGCTGGTCACAGCCAGCGTTAGAGCAAAGTCACCTAACCCATGAGCTAAAGAGCTCTTAACATGGGACGTGAGAAGGGCCTTGTCCTTGAGCTGTCCATCTGCATGGGGGAGTTTGAGCTTGCATTCATGAAGGCAATAACTAGCAAAATCCTTTTAACCACGGATCTGCATGTATTTCTGTATCCACACATCTGATTTGGAAGTTAGTCATCCCACTTTCATGGTTTCCAGTCACAACTTAGTCTTCCACACTGTATTGCTGTAGTCACCGTTTAATTTAGTACCAGGTAGCTGTTGTTTCTTTGGATACACAGTTGTCAGGTTTTGGAGACTCAACTGTCTCCAGGGAGGTGAGGCAGCTCTTTCACTTGTAGCAGAGCATGAGAGCCAAACTCCTCACAAACTGGTCCTGTGTGCCAATGCATCCCAATATTTCTCGTATGTCCTTGCAGCTAAGGGCAGAATTGCAAAGTAAAGGCTGCAATCCTGGCTTGCCAGTGTTTCTCGCTTGAGCTGGTCAGCTCAAGCTGTTTTGTCCACCAACTTATTGAACTTCTCCCACTAGAGCCTCCCCTTGATTTTACTTTATTAAGCCTTAAAAATCCCACCTGAGCTTCTTTTTATAGCCAGAAATAACCATGACATGGGTTAAGTGTGTTGATCAAGCCTATAGAGTAAGTTAGAGGCGAAGTTGGAATTAGCATCCAAGAGATCTGCTTCCCAGTGCCAAGTAGACTATCTGCTATGAAAAATTGCAGACAGGAGGTCACGCTGGAAGATTAAAAAGAGTCATTTGGGATGTGGATATGAAACACACAGAAGACAGAAAAAACCCTGCAGACCATTTGGAACATATTTAATTGGCTTTATAGATAAATAACCTGCCAAGGGTGGTGGCAGCAAAAGGAGACCCCTTCACCTTCTGAAGGCGTTGGAGTTGAGCATAATCATTCCTATGGAGTGCTGCTCAGCTGAGAAGCAATTAGCATATGAATAAAGACTTAAGCAAGGGCGAGGTAAAGAACGTGGCAATGCTCACGAGGTTTCAGCGCACAGATATCATATACAAGGACATCGTGCTCTGGGAAAGGTCAAGTGATAGTCCCTATCCCATTAGTAGCCCATTGAGTCATCTAGTCCTCCTTTCCCAGCTCTTCCATGCAATATATCAGCAGGCTGAGTCCCCATTGTTTTGCAAACAGTTCTTCACCACTGAGTTGTCTCCCACATTATTATGAAAATGAGTTTGGATAATTTTAAATTCCGTGATAAACGCCTATCTTTCATTCTAAGAGCATGCTTTCTCTAATATGGTTGGAAAATTTGCTTCTGTTGGGTAATCTAACACACATATGTTTGACGGTTAAATGCAGTGAAATAACATTTATTCCAGTCGAGACATGCTCAGCTGCAATAACCTTCTACCATTATTTAACATAACAGTAAGCAAAAAAGCTGTTTAAAGTCAAGTCAACTTTGCAATGAACAGCTGTTTCATTGTAAAAGTAACATAGTTTGATCCTCTGCATTGCCAGATATCACAGATAATGTTTTAAATGTAGGGAATAAGATCACTGTGATTACAAAACCCTGAAAAGCAAATGGATGCATTGCATCGATTCTGAAACTGCTCTGGACCACTGACTTAACCTTGATCACTCTTCTCACTGTATTTTCTTTAATGATGCATATCAAAACACTATCATTAGGAATCTCACTTTGCCTTTAGCAAAGTCTAGTAACAAACAATGTACTGAAGGAGTCCCAAACCCATCGGGTGCACAGGAACACAGGCTGCCCGCAGTCCTCTTCCAACTGCATCCCCTGCTCCCGTGATGGCTGTGTGCAGTGTGGTGTGCGGTGCAGTTTGTTGGGCAGTTTGCAGCAGCAGGACCTCTTTCTGGCCTCAATATGAGATAGGGAAAAAGTTTTGTGGCTTCACTGTTGACGTGCTTACTTCCACACCAACCTGAAAACTCTTGTGTCTGCACTGAAAAAGGTGCTGTCGTATCTTTCATCAGTTTATTGGATGTGGACTCAAAATACATGATTCAAGAGGACATAGGAATTCGGGTATTGATGACTTTGTAGGATACTCTTTTCAAGTAAAAGTGTGATAGATTGCAATTCATTTTACATACCCACTGATAATAATTTCAATGTTTCTCTAGAAATAAATATTTTACAGTTATGAATAATTCATAGGCACTTTCCATGGAAGTTAATTCAAGACCTTACAATAAAAATCATTGCAGCAAAGTGCCGTGAAGACAAAAACCAGGATGGCTCAGAACTGTGCATGTTTATCTGACCATCAGAGGGAGTCAGGTCATTAATAAAATTGAGATTAATGGAATGTTGAGATTTCTGAACGTTTCATAAATGGCTTCTTCGCTTAAGGGTTTTTTGGCCTTTTGCTTTCTTATGTACCTCTTTTATCACCATTAAGTTAAAAGAACAAAAATACTATCAGCAGTGACTATACGCTACTACTCAAGGCGTCAACACGCCTGTTTCGTAATGAATAAAACTGGCTCAGGTGCTGGAAGTGTCACGCTCCCTTTACTGTTTCCAGCTCATTGGAGCTCTCTACCAGTGGCTTATCAGTGTGCCACAGCATGTCTAATCATGCGTCCGTGTCTCCATTCATTGTCATTGGAACAGGTGGAAGATATCACAGCTGTACACGAAGCTGCGGTGTTACAGTTGGAAAATAACCACATAGTCGCTATTACAGTACTGCAGGATGAGAATGACTGCAAGATTCAAGGTAAGCCAAAGACAAACCAATGGCTACAGAGCTATTCCAGAGCAGGAATTAGCACTGTAGTGAGATTGTGTAAGCCTGGATTTTCTTCCTCCAGAGCAGATGATACAGAAAATTTGTGTTGGTCTAGTGCTTTCACGTGGGGTGGACCACCAGGTTCATGCTAGGGGTGAGGGAGAGCTGTGTGCAATGTGTACAGCATCTAACTTGGACCTGAGACTGTCTGAGGGGTCTTTGGGTCAAAGATAAGTCTTTCTCCATGGGTCACTGAACACAGAGTCCAAATTCCACCTCATTTCACACACAGCCTTTTCTCAGGAGCCTAATCTTCAGGTGCTCAGGAGGCTAGAGCTCATTGAGCATCTCTGAATTTATGTGATTGAATGCCTACACTGCTTCTAAAAACAAGACTCATCATTTTCAGTAGCAAAAGTCTGTCCATGCTGAGCAGACCAAAGCCACACGCTGGTGGAAATCTGCACCTCAGCACTGTTATCTTTATTTTGTGTTACAGACAGAGCTGTTTCCTCCCTTCCAGTTCAGTATCTAAATACATGTCTTTGTACATGCTTTAGCTGACATTTAACAGTTATCTGTACAATCATCTTCCTCTTCTCCCTCTTTTTTTTTTAAACACATAAGCATGAGGGTCTAATTTTTAAATAGCTCTAGTAGGTTTTCCCACAACTTTCCCCAAACTGAGCGATATTGCTTAGCTCTGCACTGTGTCAATTAGAGACACAGTCCAGAGCATAACGTGAGCTGACAACAGTCTATTCCCCTCTCCCGTAGGCAGAGATGGTATCTAGCATACCATTTTTAAATTAACATATACAATTTTAAAAATCAAAAAAAAAAAAAAAAAGCTGTTCCTTGCTTGATGATATTCTCTTCTGTCTGTTTTTGTTAGTATTTTCTGATAATAAAACTTGGCTGTGGTTTATCAAGGCTCTGGTGGCCAAAGTTTGTGCTCCCTGCTCCTGGTGTGGGTATGAAATGCCCTCCTGTGCACGGAAAAGGCATTGCAGCATCTGCGGTCTAGTGCACTGTAAACAGGGCACTAGAGCGTTAGTATTATTACTGCTGTTATTGTGGCTAGTGAGCAATGGTTAGAGGGCAGAACTGCATGGGACTGGGGGTAAAGACACAAAAAAAGTGTCCGTATACTAAAAAGGTAGGTGCTGCTACTGTACTGAATGACAGTTTGATGCCATTGGTTTAGAGATTAAACTTTATTCCACTTTGGTTATTAAACTTTTGGTTATTATTAAGTCCAGGGTGAGTTGTTCTAGTAGTGAAACCTTTAATCATGTAATACAAATAGAGGACTTTTTTGTCTTTGGGCTCTGTCAGTCTCACTAATGGAATAAACCTCGCAGGTCATCTGTCACAGCTCCTGGAGAAGCACTGCCATTTGCATTTTTGCATCTGAGTTGCTGGCCCCCCTCTCTATCTCCCCAAAGAAATTGCAACCCAAGCTTTTAAATACATCTAATTTAAAAATCTTTGATTTGGGGATACGACTCTGAAGTGGTAAATGACCCATTGTCAGACTGACCCTTTTCAGATCAGAGCCCCCAGGAGCTGGGAGTTCTGAGCAGTTCTGAAAAATCAGAATCTGGTGATGTGGAAATAGAGGTACCTGCAAACCAGTGAAAGATCAGGAAATCCTGATTCTCAAAACAATTCACCTAAGGTCACAGAGTATATTACTACCAGTTTCCTATTCAACCTCCATGCCCTAAAACTGCATCCTTAATTGCACTTGACTCACGATGTCTGTGCCCTCAGACCCTGGTTTCCTTGACTTCACTTAGCAATGTCATGTCTGTGTATCTTCCCCAGAACTGAATACTGCTCACAAACTGGAAAAGGCACAATTAGAAGAGAATTTTGAAAAACTGCGGCTGTCACTCCAGGTTAGCAGTTTCATTATTTCCCACCCCTGTAACGATGCTGCGGAGCAGCTGACGGGGCAGCGCCAGCCCTGTTGCCAGCTGCCAGCACACCAGGCTGTTGCTTCTTACCAGCTATAGTACCTCTTGTCCTCCGCCTGTCCAAACTGGGATCTAGCAGCAAAGGTGACCCCTCAGGTTTTTTCCTCCCCCTTGGCTGGTTCAGCAAAATACTATCTGAAAAAGAAGAGAGGGCAAACCTAAAGGGAAGAAAAGGCAGCTGGATAAAGCAAAGAAAGGTCCTTTTGACCCTGCTGACTGCCAGCCCAGCACAAGGAACAAAGCTGAGCTCTTCCCTGCATGGTGGGGAGAGCTCTGGCACCTGTGGTGGCTGTGAGCATCACCTTGTCTACATGGTACCTCCAGCAGGCACCTCTTGGGCTCAGAAACACTGACCTCTCCCTGCCTGCTGTGCTTTAAACTCTTCCCCGCTGCCTGAATGTGGGGGAGCCGGTCCCGCAGCGTAGACACATCTCCATTCCCACTGGAGGGCAATGCAGTCCCTGATGAGGGATGCCCCAGGGCTGGCCCTGCTGTGCTATGGCCGGCCAGGGTCAGCCCTGCGCGTCACATCTCCCACATCCCACTATTTAACACCAAGCTCAAAATCGTCTTGGCTTTTTCAATCCTTCTGATAACTCCATGCTGTTCTCACTCTCTAGATGAAAAAATCCCAAGGAGGGGAGGGCAGAAGCATGCCCCTGTGATTCACGCTAAGTTTGGAAATCTCTGTGTGAAGAAGTAAAGATGCTACAGCAAATAATGCAAGCTCTGTTTGATTGCATAGGCGGAGATGAATTACAATTTTTAAAACCCCTGACTAGCACATACTGTTGCACGCAGCAACTGTCACTGCCTTCCTCATGCGGCTGTGAGAGTTCGAGGCATGTCAGCAGTTTTGCAATAAGCACTGATGTAATGTTACAGCCAAGAAATTACATATATGAGAGATAAGAATACCAGTTTCACAGCAACTGTGGCTTTTGCAGATGCTGTATATAGAGAGGTAACAGGAATGCATTTGATGGTAATAGAAATATGATTGCTTAAAATAACATGTTGTTCCTGTGTATAGCTCTGAAATGAAACGACGATCATTTAAAGTCCACACCACTAACCCATCGTTGCTTGTTACCATGTTAGAAGTCTAGAAAGGTGAAGGAAACAGGGATGGGGTATCTATCGCCTCATTCAGACGCTAGGGACTGCACAAATGCTCTCTTTCATGCCTATGATATAAATGCCAGCTCTCTTAAGGAAGGACATGCTTGTTCTCATCCAGCCCAAGGTGATGGGGTGATTTAGCATCAAAGACATTTCATGAACTAGTGCCAGCCAGTGTCAGCCAGCCGCAGGCGTTGCAGGAATTTTGGGATTCCCTGAGGCACCGGGTTATCAAAAACTCCACTGTATGTTCAAGTGGCCTTACGTAAAAAATACCACCTTGTGGGGGTTTCTAAGCCTTGAACAGCTCCCCTGGTGCTTTCACGGTGCAGGTGATTGACTTGTATGAATATAAGAGGGGTGATAACACAGTTGGTGTGTTCATTGGTGTGTCTCCCCTCCAGGACCAGATAGACACCCTCACCTTCCAGAACCAATCTCTTAAGGCCAAAGCAGACCGATTTGAAGAGGCTCTGAAGAAAAACACCGAGGAACAACTGAAGGTAAATGGCAACTATAACTATACAGTCATGAAGATACGTGTTTCTAAGTATGACTCACATCATGCGATTCAGTGGATAACAATGGGATCCTTATACCAGGGACTGGGGGGGGCAGGTCCCAACCAAGACCCCAAACCTTGAGCTCTGAGGAGGAGTCAGAATCTTAGCCTAGGTCCATCATTTTCTGAGTTTACTTCTTTTTCTTTATTCTTTCACTGAGCACTTATAGCTCTGTTTCCAAAACATTTCATTAACTCCATCCAGTATGTCCTTATTGCTCTCTATTCTTGTTTCCCTTCTTCCCCTTCTTCTTCTCTTTCTCTTTACTTTTTGTGTTTTCACATTTAGGTTTCTTTTTTTGTGCCTTCTGAACCAACTTCTTTGATATCCTCTGTATTCCCTCTTTTTTTTTTTGGACTTTCAGGGGACAGCCCTGTCATATGAAGTATTTATTCAACTGCTGTCTATTGGGGCCGTGCTGTTTATTTACAGTGTGTAAGTAAACACACACTGCAATTATTTATCTGAAATGAAATAACCCTGAAATGACCCTCCAAAAAGTTTTCTTTTAACTTGGGGCATTTTGCTGTGTTCACAGCACAACATGGGCAGCTGTATCAACGTTACAGAGGGGACAAAATGAAAATAATGGGGTGGGCAAGGGGCTCAGTGAGTTTTTAGATGAGAGAACCCCTTAGGAAAGGAGCACAAATGTTTGAAACAGGCTTGGCCATGGGAAACAGGTAGCATCAGTCCCTTTCCACCTCCACCGCAGTATTTAGTTTACATGAAAGGACAAATTCTGCTGTGTCACAATGATGTTAATGCCAAGTACCATCAGGCAGTTCACTGGAGTGAGTTACACTGGGAAAAATCCAGAACAGCTTAAGTCAGCGACAGTATTTCATCAGTATAATTCAGAGCACATCTTTTGCCCATGAGCTGAACCCTGGTATCCCCTACATCTGAAGTTCTCGAGCAGAGGAGGAACTTTTTCCCGCCAGATCTGATCTTTGTTGACAGGCACTGTGATGCAGTGGTGCAGGCAAGCCAGAACACTGTAGTTTTCACCTCCAGCCCCCTTGTCCAGTTTCCTCAGTTTCATGTTTGTACTTCTCCCAAGCCAAAATCCCTGCACAATTATAAAACACCTCATGCAGTTCCCAAGCTATGAGTAGGAATGAGGTTGCTCAACAACCTGGCATCCCATCCTTCTAGCCATTAGGCTGGTCAAAAGAAAAGTACCATTGGCTAGCCAGCCAAAGGGATGGTCTAGGAGAGAATATCAGGGTTCAGCTGGGCTGAGGAGGCCCAGGTCCAGGTGGTTTTCACATCACTAAGACTCCTAAACCACCTGGTGCATTGAGGAAACTTTATCTTATGGCTGAAGCTGCATTTATGGCTGACAGATGTCCAAATCACTGGTATGTTTCCTAGATTGTACGAGCTCCATATCTGCACTTAGAAAAAGATCTGAAGAGCTTAAAACATGTTCTGGAAATGAAGAACCATCAGATTCACCAACAGGAGAAGATGATTATGGAGTTAGAAAAACAGGTGAGTTGTTATTTTTCTTCCAGAGGAGACATCACAGAGGTAGAAAAGTAAAAGTTCGGCTACAGCAGATGAACTTAAAAGGGGTGAGAAAACACATGAGGTTGGGGCAAGACACAGTCAAAGAAGTTCATAAATGGCTATATATTGTGGTGTTCTACTGTCAGCCTACATAGCTGCTTCTACTATACCATGTCTCAGGTTTTCACTCAGAAATTGGGATCTTTTCCCATCCCTTCACCCACCCATGATACCCTTGATTTCTCCCACATATCCGTTGATCTGTACTGCTTTTTCATGCAATACCTGCTCAGCCTGTTATGTTAGACAGCGAGGCGAATGGTGTAGGAAGAATGGAGGAAGGGGAACTTTGTGGTACTCCAAGGCTTCATTTTGTACACCAGCCCGCACCATACGCCCCTACAAGAGTCAGGTAATCATTTAGGGCTGGAGAGGGCAAGTGGAGGAAGATCAAGCCGTGTGCGTCTTGCTGCTGCTTGTGCAGGCATTTAGGAAGCTCCCAGCTGCGAGTATGAATTAGCAATATTCAGAAAGCAGTCCCTAGCAAGGCTTACACTAGGAAAGGTCTCTCCAACCCTAAAGTAATGCTTTTCTGCAGCCTATGCTGTTTTGTCATCCTTTGCTTGTGGGGGTCCCTAACAAAGAACTCCCCAGTTCACCATCAAGTACATTTTTTATTGGAAAGGGGATTCATTTTGTAAGGCATAACCTACAGTGACAGTAAGCGTATCGTGCGGTGCCAGGATGAGGCACTACCTCAGCTGGGGAGCCGGGACAGCTGGTTCAGCACAGCATTCAGCAAGATTTGTTTCCATTTACGGGGAAATTTGAGAACTCAGATGATTATTTTGCTGAACAGATGCTTGAGTAAGTGGATGTAGAGAAAAGTGCCTCTTCACAACTGAGGCTTGTTAACTGCGCTCCTTCCAACATGCTGCTCCTGGAGCTAAGCCAGCGTCTGAAAACATGCACTGTAGCGTTATACTGAAAAAAAAAAGTAAACAACAGCCTACATGGTTCCTGGTCATTTAGCTGCTTTTGCTAATTAACCACATATGAACACACAGTCCTGCTCCTGCCCTTTATCACAGAAAAAAACACTGGGTCTACTGTGGTCCAAAGGCACAAGTGCTTTCTGTTTAAAGACCTGCCTTTATAAGTGCCAGAACATCTACAGGGCATCTCCAAATGCTCTGAAAGATGGGGTGTCTCATAAGGGAGGAGGAGGACATTTCAAATACAGGGTCAGGCTTGGCTCCTTGTCTGCTGAAAGGGAGTCTGGAAATGAAGGTGGCAGGAGGGGAGTGGTATAGGGTGAGGGTTGCAGTGGAGAGGGAAGGAGATGCACAGGTCTCTTCCCATGCTTCATGTTGGCATAGCTACTACTTACTAAAACTATTGAGGAAGCAGAGAAGGTGCCCATGATGGTGATTCCTCTCTCAGAGCATTTCAAAATGGGGCCAGAATCCTTCTTCTGCTCTAACAAAATATACTGGGATAGGCCAGAATATCTGAGAATCAGGAGTATCCTTTACGGTTACCTGCATAGACTGGAAATCACTGCATAAAACTGATGCCTCCGCCATAAAGTGTGAGTTATTGCTAACTCCAGTGCTCAATATTTTGGTTCCTTATAAAAGGTTGGGAAATTCAATAACCGAGCTCACACGGAGATAAGGTTACCCTGTGATATCTTGTTTTCTTCCAAAAGTGTTGAATTCAGCAAAATTCAAACTGCTGGAAAACCAAGAACTAAGGTGATAAAGTACGTCAAATTCAAAACTCGGGAAAAACAGGACATCTGAGGCTGTGGTACATGCCTATAAACATCTTATTGATGTTTTAATACACTGCTATTGACATCCTCAAACTCTGTCCTTGAACTGTCCTGAGTAAAAGCTATCTACGCTTGAGATAGGATTCATTTAACTTAATTGTAGCTTTAAGTTAAATATCTAGTTTAAGCCCATCATTTAAACCAACACTGTCAGCAGTGGAGAGAAGTGTCTCCAAAGAGCAGCCCACCTCACGTGAATGCAGCAGCAGTGTAAGGCTGCTGCTGGGCGTAATCTGCCCTGGTGGGTAACTCTCTCCTCCCCATAACCAGGGAATCATAATCCTAAAGGTTGGATGCCAGACATTTATGTCTAATGAGGTTAGTTTAGCTGGATGATGCACATCAGACCACCTCACACTCCTCCTTCATCGCTAGACTGACCACTCACGCCACAATGCCCTTTCCATGCTGGGCATCCCCATGCTCCCCAAGTGCCACCAGCTCCCTGTCCAAGAACAATGGCTGGTAGCGCTGGCTCCCAGGGGATGAAAGTTGTGGGGGCACCACCGAGGGAGGTGTTTTATTTGCACTGGACAAGACAAGACCCTCCTCCTCCTCAGTTAGAAGTAAGGGCTAGTTCAGCTCTGCCTCCGCTCAGTGCTCTGCTGATGACCCCACTTAACTTCACCAGTGTGATGTGGTGCGAGTCAGACCTCTAAGTCTCAGCTGCAGTCAAGATTACTAGCTCCATCTATCCTCAAATTTTAGAAGTTGCTCTAGGAACAAACAAAGATAAAGAACAAATCCTCTTGGATCAGGTGTTGGGCTTTCTTCAGACTTAACAAACCTTCTTTCATTGCAGGCTGAAAAAAATTTAAAACTGGAAGAAAAAATCACCATGCTGCAACAGCAGAATGAAGAACTCCGAGCCAGGATTGAGCAAAATACTGTCATAACAAGGTTTGTGCTGATATTAGCAATCTGTCTGAGCTTGAAAGGAGACTGCAGATCTTAACTGTCCAAGGCTGACACTTATTTCAGAAGGGGAAAAACTTATTTCCTCCCGAAAATGTGTTGGTATCCTGATCTGCTTGTTTTATTAAAAAGTCCTTTTTACATTGGGGTTTGCTTACTTTAACATAAGGAAGGCCACATACCTGTCTGTGTGTTTCCATGATTTTGACACGCTGCTGAGAGCAAGTTGCCAGTGGCTTCTGATCTCAGTGTCAGTGCCCTGAGACCTGTTAGTCAGTGGGTAACGAGGATGGAAAATGGGGCAATTTCAGGAGAGACATCCTGGTGATGCCACTGTCACCCAGGCGGGGTTATCCTTTGGTGATTTTTTTCACCTGCACTGTCTGTTTGCACTCTTGTCACAACCTGTCAAGGGTGACAAGGCTCTTTGTGTTAGGTGGTATAGAAGTAGAGAAGGGTAGGACAGTCCCTGTCGCAGAGAGTTTCTAGTCTGCTGTAAGGCAAGAGGCTGCAGCTGGAGCCAGGCAGAAGCGGTACCAGGGGGAGATGCTAGAGCTGAGCTTGTCCCAACACACCAGCTGCCTAGCTGTCATTTTTGCCAGAAATGATGCCATTGGCCTAAAATGCAATTTAATTTTTAGATGACTTTTTAAAGCTTCAGCGTCTCATGTCTGATTTAATTTTAGTTTTAGTGTTTCTAGTGTCTCTTTTATTAATGATTCAGCCTTTAAAAATTGTCTCCTGCATGTAGGTATTTTAAAAAGACAGCATTGCTTGTGCTAACATTCAGATTGGGGTGAGGATTATGTTTCCTCTCACCTGATTGTAAATACCTGTAACACACATGTCACTGTCTGGGGTGGGTGTCTGCAGCCTTTCTGTGCTTGGGGAGGAAAAACAGGAATTTTTAAGGTCTGGTTCACCAGACCAGAGACACCTGCTTTTGGGCTGGATGAATTGTGGTCTGGAAGTGGCAGTCTCTCTCCACGCCTGTGACAGCAGCCGGAGTGCCTAGTTCAGTGCTTAGTGTCTCCGCATTGCAGCTGCCTGCCTCTGGCTGGGCAGATAGCACCCTCCACTCCCTGACGGCATCCGGCTACAGCGCCTTGCTTCTTGCCTGTAACTATGCAGGTACTGGTTTCGAAGAACATCTTTTGGGAGGAATTGTGAATTTGAGGTCAGCCTGGAAAGTCAACTTAGAGCACAGTCATTTTCAACAGTAACAGTTTGAGGACAGCTACAGGGACAGTGTCAGCCAGGGCTTTAAAGTCGGAGTTATTAAAACATGCATTTTCCTGGCAGCAGTAGCCACCCCGACTGCTCATTTCTGTTTTATTGGCACTGCCTGGGAAGTGCAGTGTGAACGAGCTCGGGGAGCTGCCCTTGCTGTGGAACAGCGTGGATTAGAGCTATTTCTGCCGATTCGCAGTTTGGGTGTGCGGCTGTGGCAGCCCAGCAGTGAGAGGAGGGAGGGGAGCAAGAAGGATGGGAGCCAGAGCAAAGCCAGCCTTTGCAGCACAGCCAGGAGGGGGGTCCCGGAGGCACTGTGGGGGTGAGGGGTGCACCACAGAGATATTTCCAATCATAGCCAAGGGCAGGTAGAAAGGAAGGGAGAAAAGCCTTGCAGGTAGATCACGCACCAGCTTTGGACAGAGGAGCTCCACAGATCCTCTGCTGGGACTTCCCCAAGCACTTGAATAAATCATCTGATTTCCCAATGTCTTGGATTCTCCCTCCAAATCAACCAGCATTTTTTTGGTTCTTTGGGCTGGGGATGTTTGAGGTATGGTAGTTTCCAGCACCCTAGAGATGAAGATGACCAGGAGGGTGTCTGGTCTCTGTTGGCATAGTCCAGGCACCTACTGACTTCTGGGCCTTTTGGGAGAGGCTTTAACGTGAGTCGAGGGCACAACTCAAGCACCTTCCCCTGTATCCCTATCACACTGGTGTGCCCCTGCACACCTTTATGGTTTTATGGCTGTGATTTGTTACAGCTGCTTAAATTGGCAGAAGGCTGGCAGAGGAATATGTCTCATCATAAGTCTGCAGTGCTGGGGATAAAGGTTTCTCTAGCTGGGATAGGTCTAAAATTGGAACATATATCAAGATACGACCTTACATAGTGAGAACACATTTGCTTTTACATTGCCTGTCTTCCTTCTTCTGCCCAAATGATGAAAAGGGGCTTAATGGGCATGTGTATCTTTTATAAGCAGCGGTGGTGCATCTGTCCAGCTCCCTCCCCATGGTGCAGCGGAGGCAGACACGTTGGCTGAGCTGAAGGCGGAGGCTTTGCTGAAGGATGTTGGCACTGCTGACTGCGCATGCTGCCTCTGTCTCCGAGTGGCATGAAGATGGGTCTGCCTGTGTCTGGTCACGTCATGGCTGGTGTCACAGCATAAATTCCCAGCGCAATGTGCACGAGGCTAAAATAAGCGATGCAACAAGCAGCAGCTCCTTTCCGCATCCATGTGCCAAAGCAGGTCTCCCTGGAGGACATGTCTGCATGCTCCACGGCATGTTCATGGGCAGTTGGCTGCAAGGCTCTTTTCTGCTCAAGCATCTCCCTACTTACCTGCAGGCCATGCGTATAACTTGCAGTCTGCCTCTGCCGGCAAACTGCAGTGTGCATTAGGGCCATAAAAGCTATTGTGTGAGAGACTCCAGAGGACACTGTGATACTGTACCTCTAGCAAGCAGCATTCGACGTAAAGGAGGCTGATACGTGCTGAGGGGCTGTGGTCTGCGCTTGCCTCCTGTCCAGGCAGTGCCTTTAGCAGAGGAGGGAGCTGAGCCCTTCACCGTGCTCTGAGGTCCCTGCTGGTGTGACTAGCCTGTTCCCAATAGCCAGATGAGCTTTACCAGCTTAGAGAGGCGGTCACACATTAAGAGCCTCACAAATGCAGGGAAGGCATGTGCTTTTTCTTTTTCTCAGAGAATGCTGGCTGGAAAAGGATGTAGTGGGGCTTTTGTAGTGTAATTTTTATGGCCTGTCTTGTTAGACACTGCAAAAGAAAAAGTAATTCCATGTGTAGCAAGAGGTTTTCTATGGAGTTATTTCTCCAGGGCGAGCTCCCATGTGGACTTTCTCATGCCTGTTAGACCGTGAGCTCATGCCACAGCTGGTTCCCCAATGGGACCATGAATAGGATTTTTCTCCTCTATCAGGCACCAGGAAAACTTCTGCCAAGTTGTGTCTTTTAATCCTTCAACTCTGCTAGCCACTGCTTCATGGTTCAAAACTTTCAGGGGAGTGGGAGAAGAACAGATATATTCTTGACCACCTGGGCTCCATTTTTGTAGGAACCGAGGCTAAAAAAGCAGAAATTCTTTTAAAATGTTTTTTAAACAGAATCGGAAATGCCAACCCCACCCTCTCAGGGACTTTTGATGACACAAAGAGAGTGGACCAGCAGTCCATGACATCTGCTATGGGCTTCAGGCTATACCTAGAAAAGGAGTGTGTGCATCCAAAATCCACACCCAGCTGCTGCTGAATCCTGGAAATACCTAGCGGGGAGGTTAGGTGCCTCCCTGTTTATTTCTCGAAAATCCCAAGTTACCTGTAAGTTAGGTTAGGTACATGCCCAGAGCTGCCCCAGGTTGATCACATCAGGACCTGGCTCCTGCCCAAGAGTAATGGGGCTGCAGAAGCCAGGTGTTCCTGCATGTATCCTCCAGAATTGTGGTGTTCCCAGAACATGTCCAAAACACATCTTGATCAGGTCCCACAGTCTGCCTGCACTGCCCCATTTTTTCTAAAACCAGTCACCTGGTTAGATGAGAGCAGACACACTGAGATTGTGGTGCCCATAGAAGATTTCCATGCCGCACCTCCCAAAAAGCCATCAGGTTATAGGGCATTCCGGGGAAAACACCTCCCCGGTCCTTGCTGGTGAAGTTTCCCTGGTGCTGGAGTCAGGAATAGAGGGTTCATTAGGACCAAGGAGGAAGGAGCTGGAGAAGGACCCTTAGCCTCACGACCATTTACAGAGGAGAGGGAAGGCCTCGAAGCTGAGCTACATCCTGCGTCAGGACATCAGCTAAAATGGGGAGCGTGGAGAGCGCAGACTCCTTTCCCTGTGCATGCAGTGGCAGCTGGTTTGAAGAGTCAGGGGTGCAATTGCTCTCTCTTACCTCTTCGCCATTGCTCTGCCATGCTACAAATGCTCTGTCACTCATGGCACAGCTTTGGTGGCAGGGTTGAGAAACAAGGGTGAGAGTTACAGCTGTAACTCCACAGAGTTGGGAGTTTGGATTTTTGTCCTCAGACAGACAGAAGAAGGCCTAAAACCCAGGCCTATCCCCCTTGGGGACAGCTCCAGCTGCTGTGCTGTTCTGGAAAAAATGGGGCAGCATTGTGAGCACCTCTGGGTTGTGAAACGCCACAGGGCAAAGGTGGCTGGAGCCAGGCACTGAAGCTGGGGAGAAAGCAGAATTTAAGGAGCCCACCTGCACGAAAAGTGCTGCGTATTGGTTGTCTGCAGGGATGCCGTTGCTGGGGCAGGCCATGTTGGGTTGACCTCTGAAGCCCCTTGTCTTCCTGGTGCAGGAACAGAAGCCCTGGCCAAGGGGTCGCATGTGCAGGGAGCACAAGTGCCCGCTGACCCAGGGCTCTGGGCTCCATCTGGGGGTGGGTTTGGCTCCATGGAGTTTTATGGGCGCATACCCTGGTGAAAACAGCTGTGCCTCTTGTGCAGTGCTGGCTGCATTAATGCTACCGTCTTTGCACTGGTGTGCCTTACATGTTGTCCTGCTTCCCTCACCAGGCAATTGTCAGAGGAGAATGCTAATCTTCAAGAATACGTTGAGAAAGAAGTGGAGGAGAAGAAGAAGCTGAGCAGGACTAACGAAGAGCTCCTCTGGAAGCTGCAGGAGGGAGATGCTGTAAGCCCCGTGAAACTTCCACCCGCATCGTCCACTTCTTTTTATCGCTGCTCATCAGGGAACTCCTCTCCAGCAAAAGTCAGAACCTTGCGGCGATGATTCGGCACCTGCGCGCCAAAGGTCTCCTGCCTTTTACGTGTTTCCAATCTGCTAAAAGTTACCATCCAAGGAAGTATTACCATCAACAGGCGCCCAGGGTTCGTTGCTGCAAGCATGCTCAGTAGTTGCATAGCTTTACACTAGGCAGGGTACTCTTATAGTCCCCATATAGGAGCTCTTGGTTCTGTCCTGTTGATTAGGGTAGCAAAAAAGATAGCAAAAAGCTAGGAGAGCAGAAAGTTAGGATAGCAAAATGTTTAGTTTGATGTGTTAACATTTTAACTATGGTTAGAGCCAAAAGTTGGAAATACTATATTAATGGTTCATCAGAATGAACTTCTGCTGCAGTATTTCAGGTTAGTTACAAATACAGTTCAAGTTGTGAATATTTCTGTATATGTGTCTGTGTTTATATACATGTATGTATTGTACCTTTATACCTATATATAGACGCACACACATATATATGTAGTTGAAGATGTTCTGAATTGCATTTTTTATATTATTGGATACTACTAAGTGCTGATATATTTTCATTACAGTCAGCAGTTTTCTAACTCGTGCCTAAGACTTGTATCTAAACGAAATGCATTTCTGTTTAGCCTCCCAAGAATATTTATACCCAACCTAGAAGAAAGTTACACAGAAGTAGAAGCGCCTTCCAAATGACCACCAAGTGGTACTCTATGTAACATGAACACCAGCGACTTTGAAATTCTGAGACAGTACTGCCTTCGAAACCATCACATTGAATACCAGATAAGATACACATACCATTCACTGCTCTTTAACTCTTAGCATTGATATTGTAATTGGAGATAGGCTAGAGATGAGAAACCTGAGTGTTTTAGCAAATTTGATAGAGGTTCCTGGTTAACGTGTTTCAATTTTAGTGTCTTTAAATCCTAGTTAGATCTTGCCTTGTTTTACCTTGGCCTGGTTTGGATACAGTCAAAATCTCTGGTTATAGGTTCCTGTCCATTTTGATTTATTTCAAGTCCCATAAGCAAGAAGGAGAAAATAAGTTGTTCATCCTTGACCTTACCTGGCCAAGAGGTTTCCGGTATTAGGATGAGATACTGGCCACCTGCTAGGGCTCCAGCTTTCCCCCATCTGAAACACCAAATAGAGCACAGCGGACTACGTGAGCGCAAATGAGGTCAGAATTTCTTTCCTTCCACATATATATATTATTTCACATTGCTAAAGCTTACCCAAAGTTACAGAGCACTTTTGAGATTCATGGAAAAGAGTGGCTAAACTACCTTTAACTTCTCTGCCTAGAAGCAAAAAAATTCACCCAGGCTTGGCGTGACCTCCCACCTTGGGGTGGGATAGGCTGCAGGGCCCTCGTGGGCACTGCTAGCAAGAAAAAAAAACATCCCTGAGCATAATTTAAAAAAAAAAAAAAAGAGATCTGTGGGATGCTTTTCTATCCAGCTTGGGGCAAAGAGCC